AGATTTTGGATCTAGCTTAGTTCTTTCTTGGGAGTTGTACATCACGTACACGGGACATCCAACTACATGTAGAGTAGAATACTCAGCTGGCTTTCCTTTCCACATCTCCATCGGAGTCTTTAAACCAATTGCACTTGATGGTGATCTATTTATCACATAACAGGCAGTTTTCACGACTTCTGCCCAGAATAACTTGGCTAATTCTGCAGTTCGTAACATAGCTCTAGTCCTTTCTAGGAGAGTTCTATTCATCTGCTCTGCTACACCATTCTGCTGAGGCGTATGAGCAACTGTAAATTGTCTCATTATACCCTCTTCCTTGCAAAATGACAAAAAATCACCGTCTGTATATTCTCCTCCATTGTCTGTCCTCAAGCACTTAATCTTCTTTTCAGTTTCAAGCTCAATTAGTGCTTTGAATTACTTGAATATTGAAAACACATCTGACTTCTTCTTGATTGGGTATACCCACAATCTTCTGGAGTAATCATCAATGAATGATACAAAATATTTTGCTCCTCCTAGGGACATTTGTGGTGACTCCCACACATCAGAATGAATCAAGTCGAGTATGTGTTTGCTCTTAGTAGTTGATCTATCAAACTTCAACCTATTTTGTTTGCTTACCACACAATGCTCACAGAAAGGTAGACTTACTGATTTGAGCCCGGGTAAGAGATCACGTTCTGCAAGAATTTTCAAGCCTCGTTCTGACATGTGGCCTAATCTGCGATGCCACATTGTCGTTGAGTTTTCTTGACTAGTTGATGCAATTGACACATCACCTTCTTGCAATGTCTCTCCCATAAGAATGTATAGATTTGCATATAGCTTCTCTGCCTTCATCACTACTAGAGTACCTCTCACCACCTTCAAGATCCCACCTTCAACATGGGTCTTGCAATTGAGATCATCTAACTGTCCAATAGACAATAAATTTTTCTTTAAACCTTTCACATGTCGTACCTCTTGAATTGTGCGAATTGTACCATCATACATTTTTATTTTGACAGTACCTACACCAGCAATTTTTAAGGCGTAATCATTTCCCATGAACACGGATCCTTCTGAGATAGGTTGATAAGTGTAAAACCAATCTCTTCGAGGAGTCATGTGCCATGTTGCTCCTGAATCAATTATCCAAACATCAGTGAGTTGTTTACTACCTTTGCAATTATTTGTTGCTCCGCTATATAGAATCTCTCCATCATCAGAGGTACTGGCAATACATCCTTGAGATGAACTTGCCTCAGAAGACTTCTCACCATTCTTCTTAAACCAACAATCTATTTTCAAGTGCCCTTTCTTGCCGCAATTGTAGCATTTCAAATTCATCTTACTTCGAGATTTTGATCTACCATGATTTTGACTCCCACTAGGGCCACGTTCCACTGATCTGCCTCTTGTCATTGTCAAAGCTTCTACTTGTTTTGAGTTTTCTTGACGATCTTCCTTATTTATACGCCTGGACTCTTCCTCAAGAATAGCTCCGGCAACATCATCAAAGTATAGACGGTCTGTAACATTATTATTTGTTAAGTTAACAACGAGTGGATCATATGAATCTGGTAAGCTCTGAAGTAGTAATTCTGCACGTTCATTTTCTGATATGCTAAAATTTGCCGATGTAAGTTGAGAAAACATTGTATTTAGAGTGTTGATGTGATTTGTCACAGATGTGGATTCACTCATTCGAAGAGTGTAGAGTCTCCTCTTTAAGAAAATTCGATTGTGAAGTGACTTGACCTCGTACAATTTGATGAGAACATCCCAAATCTCCTTTGCAGTTTTCTTTTCGGCAACGCTAGACAAAACTGAATCAGCCAATGCTAAGTGCAAATTGGCAACAGCGTTGCTATCCATCTCATTCCATTTTTCGTCAGATAATCCCTCAGCTCTATCTTCAATTGCTTCTAAACAATTATCCTTTCTCAGGATTGCATTTATCTTCAGTTTCCATAGGGAGAAATTACTCCCATTGAACTTCCCAATCTCAAATTTTGCCGTCACAATAATTTCAATTAAACCGGCTTACACAATTTCACCGTGAATAATATTTGCAGCGGAATATGGACCAATACCAAATGCTCTGATACCACTGTTGGGTATCAGAATAATATGAAATAATAATAACAATAGCACAAGTAAAATTTGAGAGTTGAGTGTAGGAATAAGAAGAAACACAATTGTAGCAAACTCTTGGATGATTAGGATGATTCTGAATTACAATATGATTACTCTATATATAATAGTTTCATATACTATTATAAGTAGATACTTATTATTGGATTCTACGTAATCTTTTCTGCATCATAGAAAACCAATGACTTATAATGCATTGAATTTTTCTACAAAATAAAGATTACTTTATGTCCTCACATTATGATCATTTTTATAAGCCTACTAGAAGGTTTATTTTCTCTTTCTAAAGTATTACAAAGAGCGTCAGCTCATATGAAATGGTAGAATGCCAACAAGTAATTCAGAGAATCATTGTGTGTTTAGGGGCGTTTATTTTATCTTTCAAAAATAGATTTTTTTTTTTATTTTTAAAATATAAAACCCTTTTAAGATATTATAAATTTTTTAATTTTTTTTAAATTAAAAAACTAATTTTAATATCTTATAACATAAACATTCATTATTAAATATTAAAATATAGTTGAAATAATAATTTTTTCAATAAATTGTATCTTATAAATGATTTTTGTGAAAAATTATTTGAAATAGCTCCAAAATTAAGTGTTTTTTAAAATTTAATATAAAAAAAAATTCAATAAAATGATGAAATATCTAAAGTAACATTTTAAGAATTAATAGTAAAGGACTCGCGCGTTTACATAGGTCGCACAAAATCGATATAAATATTAAATAAATATTATATAGTTATGATTAAGATATATATATATATATATATATATATATATATATATATATATATATATATATATATATATATATATATATATATATATATATATATATATATATATATATATATATATATATATATATATATATATATATATATATATATATATATATATATATATATATATATATATATATATATATATATATATATATATATATATATATATATATATATATAGATATGGAGTAACCGTCAAAAGAAGAAGAAGAAGAAATAAAGAGAGATGGTTCGTTTGATGGTGGTTGTTGTTGGGTTAGAGGATAAAAAATGAAGAATGAGTTGAAGATGATTTTCGTTAGAGTTTGATGAATGCGGCGGAATAAGTATGGTAAATAATTTAGGGTTTTGTGAAAAAGGCTACGTTTTTTACATCGGTTGGGTCTATGGCCCGATGTAACGGCCACATTTTAATGCTCTTTACATCGGTTGGAAAATTGACCCGATGTAATGGCCTTTTATAACAAAAATCATTTTATTTACCAAACTACCATCGTGTTTTTATTTTTTTAATCATTTGACTTTTCACATCGGGGCAAATTTAGACTCGATGTGAAATTCTTTATAACAAAACTGCATTTTATTTACCAAACAGCCACCGTGTTATATTTTTCCCTAAATCAATTTTTTTTCATATCATTGGAAATAAATGTTTGATGTAAAATCTTTTGACAAATATTTTTCACATCATATATTTTTATACCTGATGTAAAGACATTTTCTTAAATATCATATGTTTAGTAGTACATATGTTAACATAGTGGATTCTTTGATGTATGATATGGTATGTACTAGATCCGACATAGCATATGCAGTAAGTCTTGTATACTTGTAATCTTGTTTGAAGATAAAAAAAAAGAACAACAGTTAATAACTAAATTCCTTGTGTTCTTCTTGTTTTTCATCTTTTCTATCCTTGTAAGTTTCTTGCATTAAAGAACTTGTTATACTTTGTTTCAAAGATATCATATTTTAAAATATATCATATATTAAATAGAATATGCAAATATACTTTGTTTCAAAGATATCATATTTTAAAATATATCATATATTAAATAGAATATGCAAATATAAAGGGACGAAAAAATCTCAAAAATTATAAAATAAAGAGAGAAAAAAAGTGAATTTTAAAATAAGATAACTAAAATTGTTAAAATTATAAGTTATTCTCCTATTCGTCAATAAAGGTGAAAGAGTGGAAGATAATAATATTTTTTTGACTTGGACTTAATTTTTTAACAGTCCTGTGAATTCTATCTTTTTCTCCCACCTTTTAAATTCTATCTAGCGTTTGAATCAATAGCGAAACGAGACTCTTAACCTATCCATGGTCTGAGTGGTTTATATTAGCGTTTAGATTGCATTTTTAATCTGTTGTTAGGGGTTTGAAATTTGTGCTTTAACTTGTTCTCTCTTTTGGGTGGTGTGACTGTTGTGCAGGTGTTTTTCTAGATTTCTATTTTTCCATCTTTTGATGTATTTTGGTGTATTTGGTGGTTGTATGTCTTCCTTCTTTCTATTCATTTGTTTTGTTGTTTCTCAAATGGTCGCTAATTGTTGGTTTGATATCTTTTGTGTCTGATTCGTTTTACAATTGATTAGGTTTTTTATTTCTTATTTAATATATTATTTTATTATTTAAAAAATTATTAAAAAAATGTTTAAGCTAAATAAATGTTACTCATATTTTATAAATTAAAAATTATTTATTCTTTGAATAGTAGGTTTGAAAATCAAAATATAAAATATGTAAATTTTTCTAAAACATCTCTTAAATGAATGTTCCATTTGAAAGTAATTTAAAGATTATTTGAATTTTGTTTAAAATTTGCCGAAAGAATAGATAAATTTAGGTGGAGGCGAAGTACTAACAATGATGATATTTGATATATGACACATGATAACACATTCACCAATCTAACTCGAAATCAAACTCATCATCACATATACATAGTGATGTATCTATGCGATATAGTTGTAAGATAGATAATACATAACCTCAAAAGATTGATGTTTCTCTATACAACATTATTTATTACACATACTACGTCCATGCATGATGATATAATTAGTTACCATTGTTAGAACTACCGCCATGTCCACCTCCACCACGATAACCACCTCCACCATTGTAACCACCACCTCCATGGTTGTAGCCTCCTCCACCACCGTTGTAACCACCACCTCCATGGTTGTAGCCTCCACCACCTCCATGGTTGTAGCCTCCACCACCTCCATTGTATCCACCACCATGGTTGTAGCCTCCTCCACCACCATTGTAACCACCCCCACCATGGTTGTAGCCTCCTCCACCACCATTGTAACCACCACCTCCATGGTTGTATCCTCCTCCCCCACCATTGTAACCACCCCCACCATGGTTGTAGCCTCCTCCACCACCATTGTAACCGCCGCCTCCACCGTAATATTTGGCATCATTTAATTCATCTGGTTTTTCAACAGCTTCTGCATATACAATATTGTGTGAATTTAAATAATCTCTACTTTTAATAAGTTTTAGTGAAACAGCATATATATGTACTCATATTATGGAGACTTAAATAAAATAAAATAATTTACCATCTTTTGTATTAGTGGAAGTCTCGGTTAAGTCCCTGCTAGCTGACACTTGTGAGGAAATAACAAGAACCATGGCCAATAGACCAAGGATGAGGAATGCGTTTTTGGTATCCATTGTACTAAACTCAAGCTCAATTTGAAATGTGATATTTGTTAGTGAAGGATGAAAATAATAGTAAGAAAGTGTGATCTATTTATAATGGAAGGAAGTAAGAATCAATACGGAACCATTATTAGGTAGTTGGGATGGAGATAATATCTATTAATTCAATCTTGTCTACATGCTAATAGCTGAAAGTGACACTTTTTAAATCATAGTACTTCTGGTCAACACTAGATATCTCGTGAGCTGCATTCCAAATAATATGTTTATATACATAAAAAATGGAAAACGTTTTTTTCTTTGGTAGTTTCTGAATTTTAAGTGTCCAAGTTTGGAAGACATTCGCAAATGTCTCTTTACTTAGTCATTTTATATTCTCAAATGTGTATGTTATTAGGCATTTTAGTTCTAACTATATTTTCATTATACAATCTATAATATATGAAAACTCATCCTATCGTAAAAGTCTATTTTATTCTTTTATTTTAAAAATATATCACGTGGCTTTATTAGAAAATAGAAAATAATTTATTTCATATCTTAATTTTTCTTTATATTTTATTCCATTGAGTCATCACTGACAGCGGTTACGTTTTTCTCCTCATTCCACTATCTCTGTATAGCGGTTACATTTTTCATTCATCTGCTCTACCTCTCTCTTTCTATTCCTATTATGTGTGTGTTCTAAATAGTTCCTACAACCGCCGCACCATTTCTCCATCCACAAACTATCCCCGTTTCTTCCAAACCCTAACCCCCAAATCCATTACTTCCACCACAGTTTCTTCCTCTCCCACAAAACGGAAACGGAAGATTAGTGACTCTGCTCCACTTGAAGAGGAATACAAACAGTGGGTGAAGGACGCCAAAGCTCTGAAACTGGCTGAAATGAACAGAAAAAACAAGGTTAATAACTTCAAGAATGCTTCTGAGTTAAGGCCAACAAAAACCGATTTGAAAGAATGGGGCGCGGGTTATGATCCATTTTCAAGGAGGTGGACAAGATCAAGAAACTACTATGTTGCGAAACCCGGAGTTAACCGAAGAGAGGTCGAAGACGGTGTAGATTTGTCTGGGGAAAATCCATGCTTTATTTGCAAGGTTGATGTCTTAGATACCGACTCCGATGATCACAAGGTACTCTGATGCTTTTGCAACTTTATACATATTGTTGAATTTGATTTGATTTTTTTAAAACCTAGATCAGTGGTGTTCGGTTTCTTTGTGGTAGGTCTGCGGTTGCAACAATGTGTTAACCCTAACATCGTTCCCATTTCCCAACTAACCAAACACGATTAGCCTGACATGGCTTCCCGAACCAAAACTGGCCATCGCGAATGATAGATAATCAGAAATTATTATGAAGAAAAGTGTTTATTTTCTCCATTCTCTTTCTTACAAAAACTCCAAATACATATATCTCAGCGGTCCTGAACAGTCTGTAGATTGTTTTTTACTGAAACATCCACTTTTTTCTTGAACCACAAGTTTATTCTTATATTTTTGTGTGTAAAGCTGCCAGAACTTCCCAACTAATTTTGTTTTTCTTTTGTATTTTCCTTTATATGTCTTTGTCAGAAACAATTTGGCTCTTCCTAAAATTTGAATTTGATGCAGGTTAGAGTCTGCAGAGAGAAGACTACTGATCATGTATTCGCAATGAAAAAGCTAATTGAATTTGTTTACAAATAGTGAAGTGTTTTTTGATATGTGGATGCTTTAATGTGCTAAGATCAGTGTAAATGTTGATTAATTGAACTCCAATTAGTTATTATAACACATTCACTTTTAACTGATGTATTTGATATTTTTTATAGTTGAAGTTGTGGGAAACTTGGGGCTGCATGGAAATGCAGCACGTATCGACAATTACTTCCACCAAATAGTGTTTCCATTATGTTGTGTGCAGAGTTCCTGTTTTGGAAGTAGTGTTTCCATCCTGTTTCCAGTAGAAAGATTGTGGTAAAAAAATGTGGTAACTGATGTTTTGATCTTACATAGTCGCGACGTCGATTTCATAACATCTTATAACAACTTCTATTTTGATGTTCTGTTTTCAATTAATGTATTTTGAGGTACTGATTTGATATATAATTTACTGTTAGAAATTGTTGCTCTACAAAATGTTATCTCAGTGACTTGATTTGTCTGTTAAAGTTAATAATTGTTTCCTTGTAGTTGCTCAGTGTCCCATGCCTCTTATGTTCCGTAAACGATAAAAGTTTAATTACAAAAGAGATATATTATCATTGACACAAAGTCCTAACGATGGTACTTTGTATTCTTTGTGGAGCAAGGCCGAGAGCATTAATAAAGCCCGCAGATCGTTTTTTCTAGAGGAGGTAATTAATAGCTTAATCGTCATTTCCTTAACATTTCATTATGAATATTCATTACTCACTCTGGAATTCCAATTTGAAGTGCAGAAGGTCTAAAAGTGGCTAACTCAACTGTTGATAGCGGTAGACTACTTGTGTTCTAACCGTGTAATCCACCGAGATCTTAAGGTGTTACATATTCTCTTATACTAAGAAAAATAAAATAAAAATGAAATGAAATTCGTGTGATGTTTACTAAATGCAATTTAATGTAAATTCTCAGTGTTCCAACATATTCCTCACCAACGATAATACGTGTTGAAGATGTTGGTATATCGGTGTCGTCAAACTGATGGTTCGAGAGAGTGGTACGTTTCCTACATGTTTATAACACCATCACTAAACAACTTTTTTTTTTTGCGGCTATAACAGTGTCAATCTTGAAATTATCTATCAAGTTGTTGTTTTCTTCAAGCATATTAACTATTGTGATATTATGCTTGGATATATTCGTGTTCACTCCAATCTTGATTTTGTTTTACCAGAACTGTTGAATTGAGTTTCTTCCTGTACTTTAGTTGAAATGGTTTTCCTACACACTCCCTTGAGGATAACCAACTATGGCCATGACATATGTTGTAGTTACTCTACCAGCTAGCAATTGCAGTTTATGTTATTTACCGATCATGGAATACTCATCCCCTTAAATATGTCAATGTTCCTATTATAAATGCAGGAATGGTCATAAATGGGGAGAAGACTTGGTCGTTACAGTCAAGAAGCAGTGATGGATTCAGAGAATCAATTCTCCCTTAGTATGCATATATCTGGTTTATGCTTGAATCGGAAAATTTACTCCAATATATGTCGAAGAAAATGAAGAAACATGGAGCAGGGTTGTATCTAATGCTAAGGTTATGAGAAGGAATGTGTTGGTAAGCAGTAGAAGTTAATTGTTGCAACGGTATATTTATCTTTTTCAGGGTTGAACATCATCTAATTTATGACTCTGTTTTTTCAGCAACTATCACATGGAGTGATTAAGAAGTCCTTTAGTGGACCGGTCAGCTCGATTGAGTTATATGATTCGGAGAAGGGTATCTCAGAGAATTGTGTAGTGAAAGTGAAGAATAATGATGAAGGCGAGAAGTATCTCACGACTGGTTGGTATGAATTTTCTAAACATGAAGAATTAAAGAAAGGAGACATCATGAATTTTTGTATTTGATATCCGCAAGCCGATGAAATACTGGGATATGTTGAGCCGAGAAAGAAGAGACAATGAAACAGATTGTATTGGATATGTAATGGAAAAGAAGGGTCAGTTGTGCGTTTATTTTGTTTATGTTTACTACGTGTATTTATATTTGTACGGTTTGAACATCTGACTTGCTTACAGTCAAGTATTTAGTAATATTGTGTGTTATGAAATATTTAAAGTTTGGTTATATGGATTTTGATATGGTAACCATTATGCGGTAAAATATCTAGATAATTGATGTTATAATAGAAAAAGTAACAACATGAGTTCAACAGGTTGTTTTATAGTTATATAGTATGACAATAACATGAGACATAAAGAAAATAGTGTGAATGATATGCTATCCAACGTATTGAAGATATCATCTAAGTAACACTGATATGAAATGCAATGTATTCTTATGAAACAAACTATTGCTATAAAACCTCTGTTTTATTACAATATTTAGCTTCTAATCTTTTTTAAAGAGTTCTGTTTTTCAATTAATGTCAGAAAATGGTTCTGTTTTACTACAAACTATTACACAGAGAATGTTATGCTCAACAGTCCAAAATTAAATGCTGAAATTAAATGGTATAATAATCAAACAAAATTGGTGTGTGTTAAGTAATATAAAAGGAACAATATATATATTTTTTGACAGAAGATGTATAATAGTAATTCTTAAATATACCGAATTGTGAGGTTACAAACTCATGTATTACACACACTAAAGCCTAAAGAAAATAATGCACAGTAACATATGTGAGCAACCCCTTCATTTAATTAGTTTTGAATAATAGCAAATATGTGTGAAATAATCAATGAATGTTGAAAATGCTTTACCTATATGTGTGCATTGTAAAAATACAGTATACCATGTTTAAAAAGAGTTAAGAATGTGTTTTACACATAAAACACTGTTATATATGAGTCGGGACAAAGAGCTTTGCATCGACACATACTTAAGCAAAAAATCATAAAAATGACTATACTTCACTATGAGTTGACACATCCATGTCATGCATCGACTCATAACATGTTGATGCTCCTGGAATACAATTTTCAACCTTTATGCATCGATACGTAACTTCATGCATCGACACATGATATGTTGATGTCCTTGGAAAACAAGTTTCAACTTTTATGCATTGATACATAACTCCATGCATCGACACATAACACGTTTTATCTTCAAAAGTCAAAATTCAATTCAGTATGTGTCGACACATACATATTATGTATCGACTCATGTAAAATGGTTGGCTCTGTAATATGTTGTATTATCAGTTTGCATCAACTCATAACAACTTGCATCGACTCATTTTGTGTTGTATAACTAACATGAGTCGACTCATGCTAACATGTATCGAATCATAATGCGAATTCTTGTCTCTAACTATTTTCTGTTACACATATAAGTATGTTTTCAGCAGCAAATCAGGTGTGACACA